GTTTTAGTTTATTTAGTTTTAGTTATTTTAGTACTTCAACTTAAAGTAAATGAAAATGAAAACTGTCGTGGCAACTAGCTGAAATAAAATAAGTTTAAGTTTTATTAATATATTCAGTTAAGGAATTTTTTTATGGTTTTAGTTTTAAATGACACGACACAGAGTAAATTATGTTGAGTGAACTAAACCTTTAATATAAAGTTGCTTCTAGGGCTGCACGATCAATCAAAATAAATTCATAATTGTGATATGGCTTAGTGCGATAATCAAATTTTAAAGGATGCGGTTTAAATAAAATGAAATAAAAATGCAATTATTATATAATTTTTAAATACTTTTAATTAAAATTTATAACGATAATTTTTTACTTATTTTAAATTTTACAGTGAAATAACATTAATATTAGAAAACTTTCTTATTTTGTTCAATATTTTTTATTTAGTAGTAATAATAATCATACAAAAAAAATAATTATTATATGAATAAATAACACAACATTTTTGGACAAATTTTGTGGCCCAATCACAATTTTTGACCAAATCACAATTTTTATCAGAAAAATTGCTATTTTATTTTTTTCCCCCCAAATCGCACAGCGAATTCCATGTTTTCATAAGCACTTAACTTTCCTATAGTGCACTGAAACTCAGAGAAGCTCACTTAAGATATGAAGATATTGAACGCTATCTTTTCTTGGTGGATCATCATGTGACTTTCAAACCAGCCTATGACAGAATCATACATGTGCACCAATCGAAGAATAATATATTTTATACTGGATTTTTTTTTTAAGTTTTATGAGACGACCAGATGCCATGGTGACCTGGAGACTGCCTGGATAAACTTCCCAAGAGACAGAAGACATTTTAATCAGTCTTCAAAGCTTTTTAAGAGTAACAGTCTCCATAGATCACAGGGATTTTATGATGTCTCTTTGTATTCGAAGTGTGCATTCAAACAGCTTTCTATGAGATCTTTGAAGAGACGCATCAGGAGCTGCTCGTTTTAGATAAACAGTCGGGATCTTAACGGCTCCACTGAGACCAGTCTTCTGGGTTCTCGTATAATGGGTCAATTAGGTAAGTGAAGCCTCAAGGGATCTTTCGAGAACACGAGAACATCTGCTCCCTAGAACATTGTGACTGTGTTTCGTCAGGTAGTGCTGATTTGTAGCTTCTTTTGTATCAGAGAACAAACGATCAATTAACTAACTTCTACAGGAACTCTTTTTAGTCTTAAATAACGTGTTTGTTTACATAGGATGCATTAGATATTGATTTAGGTGGTATAGAGCAGTTCAAGTCTTAATGTTTGAGGTACTTATGTTGCAAATGAGCACAAGTAATTACAAACTCAAGAAATACAAAGACATAATCTGAAGGAACTTTGTTGTAAGTATAAAAGAGACAAAATAGTTGAATGGTGATTAATTTTGCTTCATGGTAATTTATGGTTGTTCAAATAACCTTGGAATTGTGACCTACAATAGTTGGTGTGATGTTATTTAGCTGCTGTAAGGATTGTCATAGAGTCGTAGATTGTTCTGAATGATAAACAGCTAATTAAACAGATTAAATGCACATCAAATTGCCTTTATCTGTTTCTTATTTGTCATGTGACCATTTGCAATTTAAAACTACATCAAATTCAGGGGACCTATTGCCACAGCTTAAATAAATGCACGGTTGCAAGCTAAAAATGTACTGATTTATTTAAACCATTTAAGTTAATTTTAATGTTTCTGTTGATCATTACATCATTAATATTGTGTGAAATTTAAACTCAAATTTCTGCATTAGGGCTGTGCTATATGGCCAAAAAAAATCATATCCCGATATACAGAATTGCGATATACAGTATAAATCCCAGTATTTCCTACATTTTCCTATTTGGATTCAAAATATATACTGTATGATTATTTTATTTATTTATTTCATTTTGTAACACCCTGCCCAATGTTGTCCAATGAAACAACCCCTCAGATCTGATTTGTGCCACCTCAGATTCAATTTGACCCCCTCTAACCCCCCA